TAAAACTGTAGCCCGTGTCTTCGTAAAAAATTGGACCGTAAACTTTGAATGCCCGTCTCACGTAACAACCGGCCATGCGTACCATTTAGGGTGTGGATTATCCTACTCTTTGGCCACAATCTTGTGTTGTACCTGGTTCCGAACGAAGGCCTACTGTTCACGAGCTAATGAACTGGTACAACGTCTCCATCGACAGCCAAAAGCTTCCCTTCCAGCTCAGAACACACCTCAGTTGGCCGAGGCTCTACCTTTAGTACGACTAGGTCTTCGTAACACTTTTGAAGCTAACGCCAGATGCACTTCTGCAGAACTTGTGCATGGGACTACCCTCTCTCCTCCAGGTGAGTTTGCCTCTTCTTCAATTTTAACAAATATTTTTGATGCAACATCTTACGTGACCGGGCTCGCAAACGCATTGCATTCAGTTCGGCCCACTCCTGTTAGACCTCAAAACAACTGATGTCCTTGTCCACACCATTTTGCAGGAGATATCAGACTTTTTCATATGCCATGAAGCCTTTCGCTGGCCACCTGAGGCACCTTGCAACGGACCACCCAAGTGATCAAGCGGCACAAAAAATCCTATGTAGTCGAGCGAGACGGGCGTGAAGATACTGCTAGTATCGACCGTTTGAAACCAGCTCACTCCGAAGGCAGCCCCATAATAAGTGACTTATATACTCACCATAGCTGGCCGGCATACAGCCCACAAATCGAAACTGTTGACGATATGGCTGATATTACACAGATACGACAACATATTTACAACAAAAGCACGTTCATGTTGAGCCGCCAAGCTCCCGTTTCGTCCAGACATACTGGACACAGCAGTGCCAGTAAAAATGAGCCGATTATTTTTAAATTTTCTCCTTTCGAAGCACCGTTTCTCCTGGTAGCGTCACAATTTTCCCACATTTTGTCATTCTTTTGGACTAATTTTTACAACCACGAAAACATACAATTTCAAAAAGCAACATGCAATTCAGCGTAAAACCTGTTTCCCATATCCTACCCACTTTAACATATGTTAACCGTGTATTTACGGAAGTGAGCATAATGTGGTTGTTAGGTCATCCGCTAAAAAATCCTGCCGTTATTCTAAACCATCTGCCATCTCAAGTACGCCGGTTATGTGCTTTCAGAAAGCTAAGTTGAATGAATCCACCCACATCCTACGCCGTCTAGACTGGGACCTTTTCTTTTCATGTACAGACCAGACACTACTCTCACTCAACTTTACAGAAATATCTCCTGTGTTTTGCTTAGCTGGTCCCGAAAAGCTCAATAAAACATGATTATGGCACAAAAGACTTCATTCCAAATAATATAAAATCGAAACTACGCAAACTGCACAGGCAGTGCATCAATGACAAACGCTTCTCAGAACTGGTCACCATCCATAATATCTACTTGACTCTCCGAGAAACCAAAGCAAAATCAGCAAGCAGAGAGGGGGGAGGCTACTGACCATCACTCTCAACCTAGCTCAGTCTGTAAGGTTCACCGCAAAAGGCCCAGCACCCATGGGCTAAACATATCTTTCCTCTTGCCAGACATGAATTTTATCGGCGATCCTACCGATATCTGTGAGACTGTAAATCTGCACGTTGCAAACTCATATATCTGTGGCGACGGTGCATCTCTGCCCCAATTCCCTCTTCGAACATTTCGAACCGCAAGCGATATTTCTCTTTCTCTAAACGGTATCAAGAAATCCATAGCTTGATGAAAAGGTTCGAACAGCCCAGGGCCCGATGTAATACCTTCCACCTTCCTAATATGTGGCAGTAAAGATGCTCAACTCCAGCTCCATAAAGCGTTTATCCACATTTTTTATCTACCGGAATCTATCACAGCGTGGAAAATGACAAACATTATGCCTAGATAAAATGGGGATCTCGCTCATGAGTTACAAGTTACAAACCTATCAACATAACCTCGGTTATCTTAGGGGTCGTGGAAAAACTAATTAAAAGCGCCGTCCCTCAATTCCTGCTTCAGGAGATACTCAAAACTTCTTCTCAATGTGGGTTCATAAAACAATGTCCCTGCATAACCGGTCATCTGCAACTTTTGATCATATTTCGTTACTAAAAGATGCCTGCATGACTGTAGTGGTAGTATGCTCCGATCTAAGCAAAGCTTTCGTCATGGTCAGTCACAAAGTGCTACATCATAATGGCGTCACATGGAGTGCAAGACTAGGTGGTAAAATGGTTAGCGTCCCTCATCAGTAACCGCTCACAAGTAGTTAATACTAATAATCACACTTCAAAGCCGCTTCTAACCACCAGTGGTGGTGTAATCGGACTACTGCTATTTCTTCTATACTCAAGTGATATGCGTGATGTTATACAACGTGGTGGACGTCTTCTATTTGCCGACGACATTAGAGTAATCTATGGCTCATTTAGCTCCAAAGTAATAGAAAATGTGGAAAATCTAACGGGGCATAAATAGGCTTCAATGTTGGTGTCACAAATGAAAAATGAAATTTAACTCAGACAAGTGTTGGATATTATGCTCTAGAAATATTCCACCTGGTGTTCAGGTCACACTATACGACGAACCTATTCCCATCCTCCTACATATTACGGACCTGGTTTTGAAAAACTCACCACGTTTCCGCCTCACGGGGTATGTTGACTTGTAGGTTTCTTTCGGAACTTTATGACTCAGGAAGCTCAGGTTATATTGCACATGTCATGCCTTCATCCACTTCCCGAGTTGGGTGCGCATGGCAACAAAAACCAGTGGCAGGATACTCTAGATGACATGGCTCAGAATGGTTGTCAGTGGCGCAGATGTACCCACACTTTGTCTTCATCTTAACTGTTATACTTAATTCAGCACTTTCTCACACCAACTTCTACGCTATTAATCCTTTAACCGGTTCTTCGGTATTTCTTCATCATTCCTCAGTGCTTTATCGTTCAATGTATTGATATTAAGTCTGGGTATTTGGACGATTACGCAGTGATACTTGGTCTTGTGTTCACGTTGATGACTACATACATTGAGACCCGTTTCAATGATATTTTAGCTACAGTCTAAGTTGAACACCTACTATCTGGGTTAATGGAATGATTTGATTTTCTGTTACAACCATTCCGGAATGTGCTGTCTTGCTGTTCACTTGCATAGGGTGATGGATACTCCTTATGCTTGTGTGACTATACGTAAATGTAAAATAATAAACACAGTTGGATGTGACCCCGTCGTTCATATTCTGTCGGAGTTTACAGGAGTACATAAGTTTCGTTTTCTTTATGGGGTGTTCACCTAAGCTGAATAGTTTGTACTCTGGATGACTGCCTTAAGTCTTTGTTGGTTTAGTCAAACCTTGTCAATCACTCATATACGGTGGCATCATACAAACACTATTTTTGGGACTGCCTGAGCAATAAATCATTTTTCTGCTGTATTTCTACTACAATTGACGATGCTTTGATGGGCTTTCATGTTTCCTCCTCTAAACTATCATTTGACATGACTAGAGCCTAATTGGACGGAAATTATGATTACTTAGGTACTATCCTCCTCATGTAGATTTGTAGCGTCACATACTTCCCCAAAATCAATAGCTTAGGGTTTGACAACTTTCGACATTGATGCTCACCTTGATAGTTTAACTGGACTCGCTAAGCTGAAGGCACCCGATAAAGCATCCTCGCCATTTGGCACGCTGTCGTCTTATGTTGCATTGCTCGTATTCGACTCTCTAGCCAGTAGTTGAAACGCATCGGTATTTTGGCATAACCATCCAAATATACTATTCCATCCGACTACGCTATCGTGTTCTTCCTTGGTGTCGTATTCGTGGGTATATAACAAGTCCGAATAATTAGTGATTGATCTTCGCGTCTGTCAAGTTCGCACCATGACAAATCCTAAACTGTAATCTTGTATCCTCCATGTTTAATCCATTATATGAAAATAAATATTATTATTATTGCCATTTAAAATCATCAGAAATAAGTTCACCACCGCCTTTGTGGATTTCTATGCTACGTTCTGTTAGTAGACAATCTAGCCGATGCAGCCCACTCACGAATGTTTCCCAATCAGTAAAACTACCTAAGTCACCACTTGATGTACTTTTACAACTTCGGTGAAGTCGGTCACGAAATGGGAATATAAAGGTCTCGTCGTGGGGGAATATGAGACCATAAGCATA